CTCGCATGTAACGGTGCCAGTGAGATTTGCAATCAATTACTAATGATATTCACCCTCACAGCTGCCCAACATGCTCGACGTCAGCCATACAGAAGCAAATAAGTATTCGTTTTAATAAGCATTGTACGCACGGCACAAGTCTTTCTAGACTATTGTTCTGTATCCTGCTGCCGGCTCCACTCTGTCAGTACGGCTAGTCACGGTTTCCACAAAATATTGAAACCAACATTTATCCCTCTGGTTGTAAAAAGTCTTACTACAAAGTAATCAAGTATGCTTCCAGCGATGAACTACTATTAGTTCATCGCTAAGACATGAGCGAAATGTCGGAAAGCTCACATAACGCTCACAGAGCGATGACAGACGTTTTGTAACGATATGTGATAGCGCGTGCTGTTAATAGTTTTGTTTTCCTTCTTTCTGAGCTGTTTAGACGTTTCGTGTTAAACATAGTGCTTTATCAAGCGTTGTCACTGAAATTAGCCCTGTAAATTTATGTGATAATTCATATTGCCCAGTTAGTGAGACCGTGTCTGCTTACAGTTGCTGAACGTCCATGGATACAGGCTCTTGCTCCACAGCATATATCTGCAAGTGTTTCCTTAAAAGCAGTCGCAGGGTAAACATCGTCGTTCACCCAACCGAAGCAATGCGAAGGACCAAACATCGTAAACAAATCATCCTTCTTCAAAGTGTACCCTTTTATTTGAAAAATAAAAATCATGAGCTCCTCTTGAAACAGCTGCTCACTTAGAATGCACAGCAACCAGCCGGGTTATACGCAGGACTTTCTTTTAAAGCGTATTGTATACTCTCCCATTTCTTAGCTTCAAGAATCAAACTGTTGAATTGTATTTCCCTCAACAGATGAGCCTTCATATTGTGTTTTTCATTATCTCGCAAAAGGACAAAAAGGAACGCCTGCCGCCATAGGCGTACGCAGGGTTCCCCTTCAGGGGGGCGGGGCGAAGTCAATTGATCGGGCTGATTTTGCGCCCCCCCCCCCCACTCGTGTTGCAGTGCCCCCTTCATATTACTCAATGTACAGGGCTGACATTGTGCTCCCCCCCCCCCCCCCCCATGCGTACGCCGAACCCTGCCATCTAAAAAACAAGTTGAACAATCTCTTCCGTAACCAGTCAGTACTGTTGCTCACCTCGTAATTGAAACTTTACTTTCAGTCGTTTCATGGGAGAACTTGCCAAATGTCTACGAAATGTTGAATTTTATTGGCAGAGTGAATCATGTCTCTTAGTTAAAAAGCTTCGCAAGGCTCGTATCTATCTTCGCAAGCTCGGAAGATAGATAAGTAAAAACTCCACAACGACTCGACGAAAATTTCGTGAGTATGTGAAATGCAACGAATAGCTGTCGACGCGAGCACGTCGGTAAGCGCCCTCTAAACCCACCAGCACACGCCCAGGCGCATTTCGTGCTCTTCAAACAAACGCAGCCTATTTATCGCAAGCGTCGTTGACAGAGGGGTTCCCGCGTCATCGTGCAGGTGTTGACCGATACAAAAGGCCGATCTTCAAGCCGCGGGAAGGAAGGAAATGCCGCAGAAAGTCGGAGCATGCGTTTGCCTTTGCGCGTCGGCCACGGATTATCGGATGCCTCGAATAGCCGGAACAAGCTTCAATGAGCGAAAAAAATTGCTGAAAAATCTTTGCATGCATCCTCGACCTTTGAACAGCACGGAATTGTACGAAATTTGTGTCTCATTGAAGAGCCCGCTGTGTTCAACATTTTTAGATTTCATTTTCGTGACAGCTATCCCGTGCTAAAAAGACGCGAACGGCCGCAAGGTATAATTGCGGCTCGTTTCGTGAGCAAACGAGTCACCGCTTTAAGGCGAACGCGAACTTCCACGTTTTCAATGTGCCGTACCTTAATGGTAAGCGCATAAGAACGTGCCATTCGCCAACAACGCAAGTTGTTGCGTTCGTGTATTGAACGTCGCGCGCTTGCGTGTGATTTATGAAGAAGTAAAATTTCGTACCTCTGAGTGTCGTTTGTTGTGCGCGACGGGCGAGGGCGCGCATCGATAGGCCGACTCGTACTGACGAATTATTACTTTTTTGTTGAACAGCGATTTCAACGCAGCACTTCAATTTTTTCCTGTAACGAGGACGTATCGCTTGAAGTTTCACTTGGGGAACGGATGTAACGATAAAATTCTCAGCATTTCAACGTTGACATTGTTTCGTACGTTGACAGATGGCAGTATAACATGCACGCGCATTTGGACCGGTTAGCTCAAGACTTGAACAGAAAAAACAAAAACAAAATGCGCACTTAGTACACGTGCTTTTACATATTTTCGTGCTTGTTCTCTAGCTACCGACGACAACTATTGCGCAAAGAAGAGGACGAGCCGGCACCACGAACCGGCATTAACGCCTTCTTATATACATTTCATGAAAAACTAAATAAAAACATGCATCTGCACAATTCTCTCTTGCTACCTCCCCCCCCCCCACCCCTCTTTTTTTTTTTTGTCTGCTTCAAATGATAGATCTTGTTCCCGCCGCAACACCCGGATGAAGCCGTGTTCGAGTGACAGTGGAAGTGCAGACGTGAATGATGGAGCAGCTCGTGAAAGTGCACACAGATCGGATTTATCGGCAACCGAATGAAATACACTTCTACGGCTGGCAAGTACAGCGCGTCCGCGCTTACATTCGACCTCCTCCCCTGTGCACGTGCAGAGTGAAGCTGCCGCGACGAAGTGAGAAAGAGAGTGAAGCACGCGGGGGCCTACCGTGCATATGCTTGTCCGCACTGTCGGCCGACTTGCACGTCATGCCGCAACCGGCGGCCGAGAAACCGAGCGCGAAGCCACGACGACGCACAGCCGACGATGGTTGGCTCCGCAGGCGACACTGCTGCCCATCGACGTGCTGCCGCAGCGGCGGCGGCGTCCCTGCCGCTTCTGCTGCTGCCGCCGAGCACAGCTGCGATGCTCGCGGCGAGACCGACGCGGGAAGCCGCCCACGACGCCGCCTTGGCCGTCGTGAGAACGCGGCCACCGAGACACGACACCCGGAAGGATCGGTTGAAGCGCGCTTCGCAGGTGGCGGCGCTTACGGGCTTGAACCAACTCACTCGTAAGACGAATCTGCACCTTCTGGTACTTATCGCCAAGAAATAATGACGTTTATCTGGGCGTCTCTGTTTGTTTCTCTTTTTTTATTGATATGATATATAAGGAGATGTTGGCGCACCATTATGGCCTGTTTCTCTTCTATTGGGCACGTGTTTGCGTCCCTTTTTATTCTATAACAATAATCTTGCGCAAGTTTTCCTTCTTTATAGCTGCTCTCGTTTACAAAAGTACGCACACTGTGGATACTACATCAGTGGTACATATATAGAGCAAATTGAAAAGAAAAAAAAAGGGGAGCATTCGTGACATATGTCACAAAGAGCCGGAATTAACACAGTGGTTTTGCCAGGAACGTACATTTCGAGCGCGGAGGGTTAGGTAACGACAGCGTTCAAACAGCCAAATCTCACGCGGCCGACGTTCCCGTACTTTCACACCTAAATGGAAAGGTTTATACTTCTTGTTATTGTGAAGATGACGTAAACACCAAATGTTTAGAATTTAAAAAAAATTTTTCATATGTGCATTGACCTCATAGTTTACGAAAATGAAGACGTAAACACACGTGGCCGGAAAGAATTCAGACATGAAAAAGAACATTGATGAGGCACAGATAGGCTTGTTGTTGAGGCATTGTATTTGTTACTGTTCAGCACGGTAGGATGTTGCATTTAACTGAAATCATCGGCATCACTTCGCGTTGATTTGAATCCGTACTTCGGTTGCTTGTGGTGAAAATGTCAGAACAATCCCTACGTCAGACAAAAATTTTTCCCGATACTTTTTTTTGCGTATACCCAACACACTTTAAACATACAGTAACATATATGAAAGGGTTACCTGCGCCATCCAACGCTCAAACGTCGGTTGTTTTCCAAGTTAGATGAAATGCGTGCATTTGCTATGAACGTGCTTTCTGCCGGGCTAGAGCAAGCGGTCACTCTTCGGACAATGACGTGCGGTGGGACATAGAATACCGCAAGCACTTGATCCGCTTATAACACTTTAGAAGCCCGTTATCAGCTCCCAGATATGTGAGATTGCAGACATTCTCTTTTATCGAGTTCATTTCTGATACGGCACTGGATTTGTCTTCTCTTGATCCTGCAAATGCCATTATCGCGGTGCGTACATATTTGTGCAAGAGGTGCTTCTGGACCGTTCTGATAATTCGTATGCTGTGCCCGGGATGTGTTTAAAGACTCGGTCAATGACGCGGAGACTCATCCACTACCTTGGCAGAGATCGGCACTGCATAATACGCCCATTGCTTTACCCATGGTAGACAAGTGTACTAATACTAGAGGTAACTAGATTACTATACTTATATCCAAAGAACCACAGGGAAGGTTGGTCGCTGCGGTAGCGTATGTTGCGTACGGCAAACGCGGAAGTCAAGGGTTTGGCTTTTGTCTTTGAATGCTATTCTTTTCGATACTGTGATTTGCCCTTACCTCATTATCTCACATTCCGAATGAAAGGAGCAGATATTGAGATATTACGTTCCCAGACTGCTTCATCGGCGCTACTTGTTGTCTTACCGATAAGAACAAACAGTGTTAGGGACAACTTAGCTAACTAACAATGCAACTAACATTTCGAGATAACTGCAGACCTTTCTTTCAAATATCTACCCTTGGTTCAAATATAACGAAGACGACAAAGTGGTGACATCATAGTGACACACATATTGGGCGTCGCTATTTAGTGTTGACTTGTGTATGCTTACTGAGATTACGTATTAGCTTGCTACACTCACTGGTTAAAGGAGTGAAATAACTACGCCTGCACAAAAAGAGTACGAAATAAACATGCAGAGCCGATGTTCACCGGCTGTGTCCTTTCCGGGTATGAGAGAGAGCATCGGCGTTTGGAACACCGCCTTAACACTCACCAGCAGGTGGTCGTGGCTGAGCAGCGCCCCCTGCTCGTCCCTTCGGAACGAACCGTACGAGGTGGCCGGCTGCTCGGAGCCGCTGCCGTTCAGCTCGTACTTCTCGCTGTAGTGTCCCAGCCGTGGCATGGCTCCTGGCTCGGCTGCTGCCTGAGCTGACGATCCGACCACCAGCGTGGGATAGCCGCTGAAGAATGCAGAAAGCAAGAGGAAAATCGAATGTTGACGGTTCATTCTGGACATACGTGGTGGGTGTTATGAAAACTCCAACTTGACGACTCACACCAGCTGAAGCGCACGACACCAAGCTAAAGCCGTGGTGCCAGTCCGATTAGTTTTGGATTCCGCAATGTTGTAATATTCACCATCTTGTTTACTCTCATTGGCGCATGGGGCTGCAACAGCCTCTCTGATTGGCTTAAAATGCCGCCATAAGAGAATTTAAAATATGGCGTAATTGGGTAGTATCCACAGCAGCACACCAACCATGCAGTCCGAACTCGGATATATCGAATCTCAAAGGCGTTACAAAAGAGTTTTCTATATAAGTAACTCAATATATAAAATAGTTGAGGCGTCGAAAGTATAGTTATTTACAAGCGCTTCTTATACACTATATTTTGTTATATGTGCCTTAGATTATGCACGTTTCATACTGATCAATTACTTCAAAGATTAAATCTGCAGAGGTGTCATTGCTACGCCATAAACAACAATTAAACACGCACTACCTACCATGATCCACTTTTCTATTTCATACGCCGAAGTTAATAAAATAAAATGTAACTCACATAATACACCAAATGTTCAGCGACTATCCGCTCACGCTTGATCTTTACTAACATAAAATAAAGCCGTCGGGCTAACACTAACATGATAAGTGTTGCTGTGAGTAAATCCCTCCTTCGCGGGAAACTCTGGTAGCACAAATTAAAAAAAAAAAAAACGGGCTGAGAAAACTTGACAGGTTCAGCGAGTTCTGCATGGGTCGACATTGGAGGCGTCCATGCAGCCATATGCTTTATTATGTTTCTCCTTAAGGAGTTGGGGAAATGTTCGACGCAGCTCCCGCCTTTCCCGCCGTTGGCGGCTTCCACAGACAACATGTTTCCCAAGAGATTGGAAATGAACGTGCTATGTCACCATCGCACAGCACAGCACACGGTCCTGTAGCATTGCGCCTCCGTCTGAATGCTAACGCTGCGACTGGGATAGAACCACGCGTGCGTGACCTTCGCGTCAGCAGCCGAGGACCCTAACCCAGTGGCAAAGCCACAGGGGGGAGGGGGGACACTACTTTGGCTTCGCCATGGGTTACGGTGCTTCCCCTCTCACTTTTTTTGTTTGCCACGGCACACAGGGCGCAAATTGACTATTTGCCTTTATATCTAGAAGGAGGGGAACCCCGGAAAAGTAAATTTCTGCTTACGTCTCTGCCGTAACCGCTACTCTACCGTGGAGGACAATGCTTACTGAATGAAAGACGAGGACGCCGACCACTGGAGGAAAGAACACTGTACTGATGTTTCGGCACCCAAATAGAGAACCTTGATTATTGTGAACGAGGCTCCAGTTCTGGGTGCCGAAACGTCAATACAATGTTTAAATAACCTTATGGTCGCCACACTTTTTTTTATATACAGCGGTTCATCTCGACGAAATGGGTGTCCGTCGAAGCCTCGCTTCGCCCATGCTTACGGCAGTGGCAGCACAGTCCGAGCACGACACTAACGAAATAAGTGAGCATTTTTTTTTTAAATTCCCGGTTGAGTTGTGCACGGCTGCCGACCGAGAGGCGTTACGTGACGCTTCGTTGCCATTAGGTTGAGCCATCGCCGCAAGAGACAATGGATGCGCCGTGCCTAGTGACGCCCGTAATGACCTCGTTAGTGCAGCGCATCCCGCGTGCCTCATTGCGGAGTCTCCTAAGACCACCGATGTCTGCATCGGGGATTGTTGCGGTTTCATCAACCGTCAACAAACATTTCAAGGTTGCTCATAAAAATGTTGGCGCAAGAAGGCATATTAGCCGTCGTATCATGAGAGGCAGCAAATTCGTTGCTGTGTCACCACGCTCAAGACAACTCGCTGTCAGGACTGGAATTCTGAACACAGGTGCTGCATGCCGTGCGTGCGTTGTTAATGTGCCTCGGTAGACGTTTTATTATTAGTATTCTGATTTTATTATAGATTATGATTATTATATTTATTATTTTTATTATTATATTATTATTTATATTATTATTATTATATATTAATTATTCATCTTGTCCGATGACGTCCCAATTCACAAGCAAAATGTTAGGGGTGAAAAGATCCGTAAGATTAACGGCATCGCACTTGCGTAGCACAGTGTGTGGTAAACACGCTCCCCTCGTTCATAACGGCACAAATAATTCGGGTAATCAATGTCGATCGGAGGCTCACTCGATTTTAAAACGTTTAGACGTTCACGCATAACGAGACTAACGCACGAGCCAAAAGGTATCACCGTCGCCAGCAGCAGCGGTCTGCAGAGCCAACGAACAAATGATACTTATTTCTACATTCATGTTCAAACAGTTATACAAGATCTATAGAACGGACTTCAATATTTGATGCTCAGGACTCTTGGGCTTATTTCACCACAGTATTATAGTGCTCCGCTTATTCACGCCACAAAGATGCCACCGAATTTCTTCAGTCATATTGCCGGTCGAAATGTTGCTTAATCTGGCGCATAATACAGAACACACAACGCCACACTTCGATATGCACAAGCGAGCGCCGATGATGTGATGACTGTCGTCACCGCAAATGAAAGAGACCATGACGCGACGTGTGATGTATGCAGTGTTGGGTGCCGGATTGTATCCCCTTCTGTCGCGGCTTACACTAGTGTGTGTTTCTTTCTCTCTCGTTTGTATCTCGGAGCAGAAAAGCCACTGAAAAGGCGGATACACATCGCATAAAATGATTACTGTCTGTCTGTACTCCATATGGCACATCATGCGCGTGCGACACTGTAAAAGCTATGCGAGAAGTTCAGTCAGCGAAATGTGCAAGCTCACTTGTCTCGAACTTTGATTTCGTCATTGTAAGCGTGTACTTCGTGACTGGCTCTAAGTGCGCGCCACCAGAACTGATCGCGGAGGCCACGATACGAGAACAGAGACGTTAAGCGGTGTTGAGAAACGACGGACCGATCCCGCCGAAGCCACCACTGTTGCGAAAGACGGCGACGCCGACGCGGTCCCGGAGGCGCCACTGCTTTCGACCCCGCCGGAAAGGTCACCAGCCGTTTGGTAGCGTATGTTTCTCAGCTCGCGACTGCTTCTGCGCAGAGCTGAGGAGACGAGCGGACGAGACGACGGTGAGTTAAACAAGGTTTATGTACAGCATATATACAGAGGCGTTACAATTTCGGCACTGGGGCCGGCAGAGACTCGAAGAGCCGAGCTCCTCTCTCTAATACATAGGTCAGCCTTTCGCCTAAAACCGCTGATCGCGACACGCCGCAGGGCTTCTTTTATTACACCGGGCCCAACTAAAATGTCCAATCAGAAGCGCCGCTGGTCTTCAGAGCAGGCTCCTCCAATGGGGTTCGCCGCGCGATGCGTCAGGCCACCAGACATGAGGACGCCGGCTCGCTGTCACGTGCGACGCTGACTCAATGCACGTGGGCCACAGATGCGCCGCGCGTGTTCACGCCGTGGAGTTGTTCGCGCCCGGCGGGCTGCGGGCTGGCCTTGACCCAGATTGCCTGTTTCAGAGGCACGGACGTTTGACGAGGACTCGCTGGCATAACAGCACCCCCGCCGCCAGACAATGCACCGGAAAGACGAGCTGCTTCCACGGGGCTCGGATGTCAGGTGCGCTCGTTCGCCAGGTCCCTCCAGGTTCGCCTCCAGGGCCATGGGGAGAATACAGCTCCAGACTGTTCCGGGAACACATCCCATCATTGACGACGGATCCCCGCTCCACTGGCTTGTCGCCACAACTTGCTGGCCAACTTCGCTCGTCTCTTCTGACCATTTTCGGTTTCAGCACTTGTCGATGGTTCTGCAACTTGCTAAGAACGGTTCGACAACAGACAACACACGACACAAGCAAGTGCCCTCGGTCACCCGACAGAACACCAGACAAAGTATAGTACAACATATACCTATCTACGTGTTTATCGGAATTTTGTTCCCTCTACATCAAGAGGCACATGTGGGACAAAAGACCCCTAAAATGACAACTCAAATTTTTTTTCCCACGTACAACAACGTAACGGATTAGAATACCACATAAAGTTGGCCCCTTGAGATCACTCTGAACGAGAGCGCTCAGCCCAGGTCGTGATGAGGTCAAAGTTTTGCCCCGAATCGCCAGCGAGAAACCGAAAGGTTGAGAAGTTACTAGCTGGAACGCACTGCTCAATGCACCTGCATTAGCGTTTACCTTTTTTTTTTTTTTAGCGAACGTCAAAGTTGCGCTGTGGAGCAACATGCTCCACTTCAGTAACCGGCCACTTTTAGGCGACGATACCTATGCGGCACCAAGAGCGGCTCACACTTTCGACGTTGCACAGGGGAACAACGATACGGCTTGCTACGGATTGAACTCCTCACCGCTTAGCTCGATATCGTGTTCGATCACCCTCATGTTTCCGGGGCAGTCCGAAAACACGTCTTCAAACTCGGAACCAATCTTTCTCAGGTCCTCTTTCTCAGGTCCTCCTTCACTTAAGCTAGGCTCTAGGTTTATCTGCTCCCAAATTACTTTCGATCTCCCTTCGATCACTCACTCACTAGAACTCAAATTTTCTGCTTCCTCTTCCACTGAAGCTTCAACAGCTGATTTACGACCGCTTGATGTTGAACATTGGGTTTCATCAAGTTGTAAATTTTGTGCTGCCGCCTTCCTACTTGCACCTCATAATTTGTATCGCAAGGCTTCGATAATACTTTGCGGGCCCTTCCCAATCAACCTCAAGCTTGTTCCCTTTTGGGTGGCTGCAGCCGCATTACCTGATTATCAACTTCAAAAGCGCGCTTCTTTCCCGATTTCTCGTAGTGGCTCCTTCGACAGCACTTTTGCCGCGTTTTTCTGGCTTTCCACGAGCGCTTCAATCGAGAGATCCTCACTCTGCCCCCGATGAGCGTCTCTCGATCAACTCTCGGCAGCTCGCTCCAACTTTCCGCTACAGGCGAGAGCGT